TGGATTGCCACTTGTCAGGTGTGGAATTTTCCAGTTGTAGCATCAGGTGGTTTATGGGTCAAAATGGTTTTTTTTCTTTCTTTCTTTTTTTTTTTTTCTTTGTGGTGCTGGGGATTGAACTAGAGGCCTTGTGATGGCCAAGCAGATGCTTATGCCACTGAGCCACCTCCCCAGCCTAAAAGTGTTTCACATTTTTGGAACATTTAAGATTTGGGATTTTTTTTTTTTTTTTTTTGATTGGGACATTCAACCTGTGATAAATATGACTTTGGAATTGTGTCAAATTGCAAATTACCAATACTCAGGTCTTGGTTTTGAATATCCTAATGCTTAAGAAATAAGGGTAAAAAAGCTGTACAGTCCCTAGATTTCTAAATGCTCAGTAACTAGTTGTTCTAGAATTAGAGGGTGAATAGTCATAACAAATCCTTAGAAATTACCAGAAATCCATTAAAGTTATCAAATCCATACCTAACATTTATAGCTAAGCAGTACAGAGAACTACAGGAGTTGTTAGGTGAAAATAAGGAGTCACTGAACAGTACTGTCACCATGTTCTTCTCAGATGAGGTACTTCATTGGAGCATTCCTGGGAGTGTCACCTGGGGCACACTGATAAAAGGCATGCTCACTGCCACTCCGTTATATCCTCTGCCTATGTGTGCTTTAAGCCACAAGATTGTGACAGGTCCAGTGTTTGTCCACCCCACACAATCTGGCCTTTTTGAGTCTCAGTGGATGTACATGGGCACTTGGTATTTCAAAGGCTCATTTTCAAAATTGACTGAGAGGTCCTCTCTGGCTCCTGGCTTATTATGTTAAAATGTCACCCAGGGGGCCAGGGAGATAGCTTGGTGGCTTAAGCACCTGCCTGCAAAGTGCAAAGACTTGGGTTCAGTCCTCAGTACTGCATGCTGTGCTGGCCCCAGAACCCCTGGGGTGCTGAGCTAGCCACTGAAACTGGGCGTGGTGGCACACACCTGTAATCCCAGCACTGGGGAGATTGAGACAGAAGATTCACTATGAGTCTGAGCTGTGTAGTGAGACCCTGCACCAAATAAATAAATAGATTTTTAAAAATGTTACCCAAAGTTGAATCAAGGCAAAACAAAAGTATTCAATGTAGAACGAAATTTCTGCCTACTTTTATGTTTGAAAATTGGCAAGGGAGATAATTAATCCTCTTCACCATCACCTCCCAGGAAATAGCGGCTTTCTTCATGACTCTGCCTATACCTTGTGTGTTTTTCATGTTGTAATTGAGGATTTAATGAAGAGCAATCTCACATGCATTTGCCTTCACACCGCTCTCAGAGTCCTGAGATGACTGGCTTCTGTCATATATTAGCTGGATGGAGAATTCAGATTGCATTTTTCTTAAAGGGGATCTGAGCAGGAATTACAGTTCACTAAGTTGTCCTTAGAAGGATATGTTAGTCTCCTCCTCACTGACGTGAAATCTCCTCCTACCAATTAGCAGAAGTGTTTTTTTTGGCGCCGAATGCCTTCAAGGCATGACTGGCTGTCTTGTGTTGTGGGGATCGAACCACAGCAACCTGAGCCTGACTGCTTTGTTGAAGCAGCCACTTAAAGAACTGAGCTAAGGGGCAGGCCCCCTCCTCCTACCAATTAGGGAGGACAGGTTGTTCAGCACACAGTTTGCAGAGGTTTCAGTCCATGCTCAGCTGGCTCCAACGCTGGAGGGCACGTGGCCTTCACACAGCAGAAACTTTCGTGGGCAGCAGAAGGTAGCAAAGCAACAAGCGACAAGTCAAGCCTCTTTGTCCTTTGCATTGTATCCAGGCCGCAGGGTTAAGGCAGTGCCAAGGCAATCAGTTGGCTGATTTGGTAATGACACACCCTTCATCCCAGCATCACACACACTAGACTCATGCACCTCTGAAAAAGCCCCAGCCATGACCCACTGAGGCTCTGGGCTGCGGTATCTGGACCAAACCGTGACAAAGGACAGCAGCTGCACTGATTACCTTTCTAAGAGAGTAGTCACTAGAGAAAGTGAGCTCCAAGTAGACGCACACCTCATTATTTGAAAGGGTTTCTATTGCAACGGCAAGCAGCAAAGCTGAAACAATAGCTGGGATTTGGAGGCAGATTTATTTACATTGACAGGTAGTGGTCAGGATCACTCCCAAACTATCAGTCCCTGATCACTGGTAGTCTAAGAGGGCTTATGTGGGATGAGCAGGCAGGAAGTGCAGGGGCAGAGTGGCTGTCACTTAGGGCCTGGTTTATACCACGTGCATCGCAGTGACCAGCCGTTCCTAAGAGACGGAAGCAACTGGAACTGGAAGAAGAACTGTTACCAGGGCAACTAACAAACTGAAGTGTACTGGCTGCAGAGGGGACAATTTCTGCTATACTGTGTCTAGAAATTTTAATTGTTCTGTTACCATGTTGTTTGAACATTGAGATTTTTTTTCTTCCTGGAACTGGTGATTGAACTCAGGCCCTTCTGCTTGCCAGGGAAGTGCTTATTCCATCCCCTGGCCCTGAACATTGGGATTTTAGGAGTTTTACACACAAATTATAACATCTTTTCACCTTCAATTGTTAAATATTGAAAGCTGATTTGTACAAAGGGCTATGGGAAGTGATATGTGTTTTCAGCTGGCACTGTGAGTTCAGAGTGAAGACATTCATTACAGGTAAACAAGGGCACGGTGTGACTCCTCGGGGAGCCAAAGGCATTGCCATCTCATTGGGGAAGTGCTTGGATGAATGAATGGTGTTCTTAGTGTCTTCACCTTTTATCTGATAAACAATGGCCAAGGAACGGCTTGGCAAATCTTATGCAAAGAAGCCTTTGTTGAAAGTAACTAAACCTGTTGTGGTAGATACATGAGGATGAGCAGGGCACGTGGGCCCAGAGACGAGACCTTGGGTGTCCAAACGTACTGAAAAAAGAGAGAAAAAGTAGCACTGCTTGGGAGTTGGGTCAGGGTGAGTTTCCTGGGGTAGCTGCCGGTACCACACACACATACATGTACACACACACACAGACACATGCAGAGATTAGTGAAAGTCCATAAGTCAAGAAGCAGTAAATAAAAAATTAATTACTAAGAACCCAAAAAGAGACACAAGTATAAACCATACCATATTCTCAAAAGAATCAACATGGCTAGGTGTGGTGGCCCACACCTGTAATCTCAGCTGCTGGGATTATAGATGTGGGCTACCACACCTAATTTGAAATACTGTTTTTAAACTGACAAATTGTCCAAAATCCAAAAGTTTCACCCCACTTTCACAATTGCTAGGGGTCTGTTGATTTGATATCCTTGAAAGCAACTTGGTAATACCAATATCCATTCCAAAAGCACTCTTGCTTTGACTCAGCAGTTCCTGTTTGGGGTTTTGCTTACTATGCCCGTGAGGGAAACAGAGATTTATGTGTGTAGGACCTTTATAAGTAGCGTGGCTTTTCATTTTCAGCCACAGGGAACTGGTTAAGCAAGTTAAGAGAAAGCCCTATGGTGGAATTCAGTGGAACAGTAAGAAAAGATCAAGGAAGATGGTATGAATTGATGTGAAAGGGCTTTGGATGTTTGTCACATGAGAAAGCAAGGCAGACACCAATGTGAACCATGTGCCGTATCTTTATGTGAAAAATAGAGGAAATCTATAGTTTGCTGGTATGTTCATAAGGAATAGTTTTGTTTCCTATGGAGGGGATAAGGATTAAGTGGAAACAGGTAGATGGTGGACTGTATCTCTGCCCCTTCTCCTCTTCTGGGACTGGAATTGAACCCAGGATCTCGCAGATTCTAGGCAAGTGCTCTACCACTGAACTACATCCCCAGCCCCCTCTTCATTTTTGAGCCCGGCCAATGGTCAGCCTATTCAACAAGTAGCTCGATAAACAGGAAAGCAGATAACCATAAGGAGAGATACCAGATACTGATTAAATGAAATCAAGGCTAAGGGTGGAAAAGCTTGGAGGATGCTGAGTGAAGAATAGAATATGTAAAGTACAAGAAGGCTCTTTTTGTACAAATAAGGAAAAAGGAAATCTAAGCACCCTTTCCTGCTTTTGCCATGCGTGTGAGGAGACTTTGCCGGAGGCTTGGGCTGACGAGTATGGTGCCTGTGCCAGGGCCCCCATTCCTTTCCAGGGGGCAGGTGCCAGGGCCCCCATTCCTTTCCAGGGGGCAGGTGCCAGGGCCCAGCTCCCAGCAGCTGGCTAGAGTGATGCTGCTAGCGGTGCTGTTGGCAGATGGCTTTCTTTGGAGACACCATCACCCCTGGAGGTCAGCACACTTCCTGGGTGACCTGTACTCAGTGGAGGGTGGCGCGGTAGCATCTCTGGAAGGTTAGCGGCTCCTTTATTTTTCTATTATCTCTTATTTTGCTCCTCAAATTATTTGTAATTTTAGGACTGTCATAGAAGAACAACTGTGCGATATTTAAGCTCAGTGTGTCTGATCTATTTCACGTAACAATATGGTCTCAGGGTACATTCATTTTCTTACAGATGCCTTAAATTTATCCCTCTTCGTGGCAGAGTAGTACTCCATGACATACAAATATCACATTTTTCTTTATCTGTTCTTCATAATGAACACACAGGTGCTTCCAAGATGTAGCTATTGTGAGTTGTGGGAAGCCCCTTCCTCCGGCGCATGGCAACTTACCCTCTCGCTCTGGAGTGTTCTCTGCCACAAATGCTGACCCAAGAGATTCTTAGGAGATCTGCTCCTTCCCACAGGAGGATGGGATGGGAACCTGGTGAAGGGAGATAATGTTAAAAGGGAGACACTTCACTCTGCCTTGTTTAACAATTAAAAATCTTCTTATGTACTAATAGCTGCAACCTTAAATGAAAAATTTAAATTAACTTGCTATGTCAGCAGTACTTTGTCCATGTGTGTGTTTAGAGAATTCCTAAATTTTACTTAATTCGGGAAGAGATAGTTCAGTTCACAATAGTGTCACCCACGCTAACGTGCTATTCTGTTCTGTTCTGTTTTTGTTTTTAGGACCTACCGAGAACCCTGCCTCGAGGTCATCTTATGATGGACCGGAAAAGGTGTCCGGACGGCGGATGGGGCTGGGTGATTGTGTTCGTCTCCTTCTTCACCCAGTTTTTGTGCTATGGGTCCCCGCTGGCCGTTGGAGTCCTGTACATAGAGTGGCTGGATGCCTTTGGAGAAGGGAAAGGAAAGACAGCCTGGGTCGGCTCCCTCGCAAGTGGAGTTGGCTTGCTGGCAAGTAAGTGGATAGATTTGTGCCTCCCTTTGCACTTGAATCATTTAATTACAGCTGCGGCCGCATTTGCGTTGTGCAAGGCTCTCTGCCTTTACTAGAATGTGTGTTTTCCTGTTGTCTTGGAAATGACCGCGTTGCTCTCTCGCTGTAAACGATCTGTGTGACAATCCAGGCATCCCATCAGCCAGCTGACCCTTCTTCCTTCCTTCCCTCCCTCGCTCCCTCCCTCCTTTCCTTCCTTCCTTGTGCTAGGCAGTGTGCCAGGTGTAAAAAGTGTGATGATGGCTCTCAGATGCATAGTCCTGCTCTCGAATGACACTCGGCCTAGGGAGGGGTTCAGGTGCTTCACCGGTGGAGGCCAGAGGGGAAGCCCAGCGGTGGGCATGGCCAAGGCCTGTGGGTGAGGCCGGCCCAGCGGTGGGCGTGGCCAAGGTCTGTGGGTGGGGCTGGCCCAGCGGTGGGCGTGGCCAAGGTCAGCAGTGAGGCCGGCCCAACTGCCCTCTGGGTAATTTCCTCAAGGCTCTTGATTCTGCTATCTGACTCAGCGTGCTGCTCAAATGCCAGGGTCTGTATCTGTGGTGACCCAAGGAGAAAAATTGACACAGCAAAGTGTAGCCCCGCATCACAATGCTGATGCTTGAAGCATTTTAGCACAGGGTTATGTATATGTGTTGTATTTTGTGTCTGAAGAATTAATATTATTAAAAATGATTGAAATAATAGTATGATATAATAATGATTTCTATCCTTAGAGAAAACTGTAGGTCATTTTAATTTTCCTTTTTATTGTTAATACCGAATGCTACTTCAACTATTAGCATCACAGTTTGAACTTTGCATTACTATTCATCCGTTATCACTCTTGCGTCCTTGGAGCTATTTAAGTATAAATTTGCTAAGATGGTGACATAAATGGGGCCCGTCCCCCAGAGGTCCCTTTCCTCACGCTGTCAACGTGCCATGATTCAGGGAGCAAGTCACGCTCTGCTCTTGTGGGCAATTTGAATGCAGTGACTTATACAGTGCTTGGGAGCTCTAAACTGGATTCTTGAAAATGTGTTTACAACGTTAGCCACGCCTGCTGGAACGCGCGTGTGCCTCAGCGTTTCAGGGGAGCTCTTGGGGCAAGGGGAGCACTTGCAACTGCTGAGACCTTGTCAAGTTAGAAACAAGGAGCCTAAGGCTTGAGAAACACTCCTGGATCATCTGGCTGGGCCAGATAAGGTAACGAAACCGAGCTAAACAAATGGCAATAATACTGCCACTATGAGCTCAAGAGAAACAGGAAAAGCTTGCCCAAGATTTGTTTGAAAGAGTTTTTAAGGGGCTGGTGAGATGGCTCAGTGGTCTAAGGCACCTACTTAGAACAAGCTAAGCTAAGCAAAACACAGGGACCTTGGTTCAATCCCCCAGCACCACATGCCAGCCAGCCCTGCCCCCTGGTGGGCTGAGCTGGCCACACACACACTAAATAAATAAATAATAAA